TGCTCCAGTGGCTAAGATGACCACAATTCGCACAGTAATTGATATGGTAATTGTTCGTCAGTGGAGCCTATCTCAGATGAATGTGAAAAACGCATTTCTTCATGGTGATTTATCTGAAGAGGTCTATATGACTCCTCCTCCTAGGTTGTCTTGTAGTCCTGGTCATGTGTGCAAACTTCACAAGACTTTATATAGTCTTAAACAGGCTCCGAGGGCATTGTTTACAAAAAAAATTTCAATCATATGTGATTTAGGCTTTTATGCTAGTGATCATGATTCTGCTCTTTTCCTTCGCTTCACTCCTTCTAGTTTCATTCTTCTATTACTTTATGTGAATGACATGATTATTATAGGAGATGACAATGCAGGAATTCTACTGTTGAAAACTCAGTTACTGGATTATTTTGCGATGAAAGATTTAGGTCCAATTCGATACTTCTTAGGGATTGAGGTTGTTTCCTCTCCCAGGGATTATCTTCTTTCTCAGTCAAAATATGCCTCAGATGTTATTCAGCGAACTTGCTTATCGGATACCCGAACAGTTGACACACCCTTGGAGCTCAATGTTCGGTATACTTCCTTTGATGGTTCTCTCCTGTCTAATCCTACCTTATATCGTACTATTGTTGGGAGTTTGGTGTATTTTACTGTTACTCGTCCAGATAGTGCTTATGCGGTTCATGTGGTTAGTCAGTTTGTCGCTGCTCCTACCACACTTCACTGGTCTGCTATTCTTCGGATTCTTCGATATCTCCGAGGTACGTTACATCAGAGTTTATTATTTTCTTCCTCTTCGTCTTTGGAGCTCCGTGCTTACTATAATGCGAACTAGGCTGGTGACTCTAGGAATCGCAAATCCACCACTGGTTTTTGTCTCTTTCTTGGTGATTCTCTTATTTCCTGAAAAAGTAAGAAACAAACTGTTGTAACTCGATTTTTTGCTAAAACTGAGAATCATGCTACGGCATCTACCATAGTAGAAATAGTTTGGTTGCGTTGGTTGCTTGCTGATCTTGGCATTTCTTTGACTACTCCTACTCCTATGTATTATGATAACACCAGTGCTATCCAGATTACTCATAACTCGGTGTTTCATGAGTGCACCAAACATATAGAGATTGATTGTCACTTTGTGCGCTATCATCTTCAGTTGGGCACGATCTCTCTCCCATATCTTTCTTCAACTATGCAGTTGGCAAATTTTTTCACCAAATCTCACGCTATCGTGCGCTTTCGTTTTCTCCTCGGCAACTCTTGATGTTGGATGCTATCACATCATGAGTTTGAGGGGGGATGTTAGAGTAATCTAGTATATTAGCTTTAGGGGTAGATTAATCATTTATGTTACTATGTTTGCCCTAATATATAAGACTAGTATTGTGTAGTTTATCTCTTAATTTTTGTCTGTAATACTCTGATTATTCTGAATCAATATGTTTCTCCTCTTTCATTGATAAACATTAACAAGCTCTACATCTTGCCTACCCTTCTAGGGTGCAACTTGGATTAGGCAACCCAATTTCAACTCAAGCCCAACCCAAAAAAATTAAAGTTTGGGTAAGAGTTTTTAATACTTGAGTTAAGCTTGGGTCAAAAAATTCCAACCCGAATTCAATTTGGGTTGGGCTCGGGTTAAGGTCTCGTGAACCCGAGTTCAACCCAAACCCGACAAATTAAAAAAAAATTATATTCGAGAAACCTGACATCTTTTAAAGTTAATAAGGTTGCTGAATTTTTCCCTTGCCATAGAGTAAAATCTGAATAATCTACTGGTGTTTGCTGTAATTGTGTTCCATCCTGAGATTCTGTCCCAGATTGTTCATTAACTAATGGCTGTCTTTCAGGATCAAATTCCCTGGTAACGCCAAAACTATCTGTGTGTAAAAAACTAAAAACTTCTGCAAATTTTTTGTCTTAAGCTTTTAGTTCTTTAATTTCAGATTTTATTTTATTAACTTCAGTCTAGAGATCTTGTAAGGTGAATTCTTTCTTTTTCTCCTTACTAAATCTTTCGATTGCAGTATTGAGGTTAATAAGTTGCTTACTACTGGAAGCATTTTTATCATCTTTTTTGACTAAAAGATCTTTGAGTTTTTTAACATATTTAAATTTTAACTCAGGATCCTCAATCTTACTAATTAACTCGATAAGAATGTGTTCTTCCTCATTCTCTTTGGTTATTACACTAACTGTCTTACAGAGACAGCTATCCTTGCAACCTATTTTAATGTTAAGTTCACTACGATTACTAGAGGCTGAGTGATACTCTAATTCAGTTTTCAGAACTACTTTTGGAGTCTGAACTTTGTTCACTAAGATTATTTAGCCTAAAGATTTTAAGAATTTCGATTAATAATAGTTACTTGAGAAGGACCTTCTTTCTTTTTGGAAGATGGTTCTTTAAGCTTCATTTTAGAGATGAGCTTTTCAATCTTCTAAATGTTCTGGCTATCTTTAACTCCTAACTTACTACGGTCTTCAGGTAGGTGAATTAGAGGTTGTTCTAATTTATTACCTAGTTTGATTTCATCAATCTTATTTTCAAATTTATCTAACTGTTTACCAATAGTAATAAGGCTTTGGTTAGTAAAATTATTTTGTTCAACTATTTTCTTTTCAGACTCATCAGTGGAGAGTTTGAATGGTGAGGCAACTACTGGCTTACCATGATCAATGACTATTGTTTCTGCCGGAGGATGACTCGATGTTATTGTGGAATTTTCTGTTTTCCACTTATATTGTGTAACAACATTAACTTCGTTATGGAACTNTTTATTAGGAATTTCACTAAAATACTCTAAAGGTCAAGCAGTGAAATGAAAACAACAATATTTAACTCTCTTGATTGCTTCATCGTCGTGCACTCAGAAGCCTAGTCAATTATACTAGAATACTTGAGCCAGCAGCTAGCAGATGTGAAAACATCTATACTACTTATAAATGTCAACATGTGTGAAAAACTTTTGATTTCATATTTCACCCTTAATTATTACCATAAAATCAATTATATCCTCATATTTTCTAGTATTACATACCTATTTGACTTCCAAAATATTACTTAGATAAACTTTATCAAAATATTAGGTAGCGAAACTTTATCTCTAAATTCTTTTTTTTCCATTCAATTTTATGAACTCTACTAGAATTCTAATACCATATATTGGTAATTTTTAGGTCCTATTTGACTTCCAAAATATTATGTAAATAAACTTCATCAAAATATTAGGTAGATAAACTTCATCAAAATATTAGGTAAATAAACTTTATCTCTATAACTTGATAGATAAACTTTATCTCTAAATTCTTTCTTTTCCATTCAATTTTACAAACTCTACTAGAATTCTAATACCACATATTGGTAATTTTAGGTGATAAACACAATCATTCATATAGGTCTATAGCTTGGTGATAGGGACTTGGATTTCATCTCGATACTCGATGGTCTTTTAATTTTGCAGCAGGCGGATTCGAGTTTATCTCACAAGAATGCTTTGCAAAAGTGTATCGAGCATGCAAAGCTTTGGCTTTTGAAGTCTGATTAGCCCATTGAAGCAAATTCAGCCATTACCAGTATGAATTAGTTCTTCCAATTTGTCAATTTGTTAATTTGGGGATTTCTTTTTGTTATTTAATTGATGGTTTATTTTGTAGATTCTGAGTTGAGAGATCCTGAAAGATTTTCAAGCTAGCTAAAAAAAAACTGGAAGAGCTTGTCCAGGTAATTTCAGTGCAAAAGCCAAGAGTTAATACAAAGATCAGTGTATCAATTACTATTACTTTTACTATTATATCATATCTTTGTTTTAAAGTATTTTGTATGGTTCTTTGCATGTTCAACTATTTTCTGGTATTATGTTTCTAAATCATTACTTAATTGTTATTTACATGAAAAAAATATACTTTTAATGGGTTGGAGTATTGTTGAACCAATACTGTGCAAACCAGATTCTTACTGAATTGATAGTTTATCAATTCCTATATTTTAGTTTATTAATTCCTATGTTTACGTTAATTCTTATGTTCTGTGGCACTTAATTTTTCTTAATTTAATGTCAAGCAGCTTTCTAAGAGATTGGTGTGGCAGGTCAAATATTCGGCATAATTGAGGTGATTTTATTAATTCTTATGTTTAGTTTATTAAATTGGTGTCGCAGGTCGAATATTCGGCATAATTGAGATTAATTTATTAATTTTTATGTTTACGTTAAATTTTTTATGTTGGTGTTTCTTTATTTTATTACAACGGGATAAAATATAAATTGTCATATGATTTGTAACTGTCACATTCTTTTAATCTTGCTCTATATATTCTTAAACTAACAAAAAAGTTTGATAACAATCCCAGGCCCACATAAAAACCAATTGAATACCAAGAAACACATGGAAGAACTAAAAGTGTATAATAATGTCAAATACTTGATGTAAAAAAGATTATACTTTTAATGCTGAAAGAAATAGTCTAAACACCATATACTGTAAAGAAAATTTGAAAAAATTAAAAGATTAAGTGTCTTTTTTCTTGATATTTTAATTATTCACTTACTTTTACAAAAAATAATTTAATTTTATTACTCATTAACTTTGTATTTCAAATAAATTTAATAACAAATTAATGAACTAAATTTTTTTGCACGTGCAACGCACATGTGCATTGCTAGTATAATGAGATGTACCATTGGAATTCCTGTTGCTGGTGTCTAACTTATTAGCTAATTAATGACCACGACAACAACATGTCAAGGAGTTCAATGGATCTAATTAGAATAAAAAGCATTTTTCATCACAAATAACAGGTCTCTTACTAAGAGGCTAATCAGCTGCCCAATTCCTTTTTTCCAATTTGTGCACTTCATCTATCTAATTCATTCAAACCAATTATCTCACAAAACCAAATGAATTGTATTGCTCGGAGATATACTTATGAATTATGACGTGGTATGCTGCTTCAATAAGGAGATATCACCTCCTACATGTGGCAAAGAAACCGGGTAATATATCAATCACACAATCAGGAAGTAGAAATCAGGAGGCCAATCATACCTTGTTGCTGACTGCAGGGCCTCAAAGCTGGATAGACGTCTAAGATTGGCTGCAGATAAAAAAGAAAAGACTTCACATTGCATGATGAGGAATTCCATCTACACTTGCCCAATGTATCCATGTATCAACCCAAGATAAGCAAAATACATGTATTATTTCTCAGGTATGTTTGATGTTCCCAAGTTCTGGTTCAAATTCATTCTAAAAACAAATAAGAGGGCATGCCCTTATATCTGATGTGTTTGCACATGCCATGTGTGTCATTGAATAGCCAAAGGAGAAAGATACTTTCAACTGCCAACACAATGAAGCAGATAAAAATGAGATAAACATTTTGACCAAAATAGCAATTTAAATCAAGTAAAATTATCTGGAAGTAAAAAAAAAAAAATCATATTCTTCCACCAAGGAATATGAATCCAGTAACTCCAAATCATCAGGTTAAAAAGTTAAGAATAAACATAAAAAGAAGAAAATTGAAGTTACAAACAAAAAATTTAGAAAATGGTAAAATTCACAATTCTTGATATTAAGCTTTAGCTGCATGCCTGAAAATGTGATGGTCCTTTAAAATTTATGGTGTACAAAATAACATAGAGTAGAAATTAAACTAATAAATTCTTAACGTTTTGGAATGGCCAATTGTTTAACATTTTGGAATTTCTTTTTGGTTGATATGTCAATGAAGTATAGCTCCAAACAGAACTGAAAATCTGGCAGAAAATATGCACTTGGATTGCTGCATATGAAATCAACAGGCAAATTCAAAATGATAGGAGTTTCCAAACATACAATGGCAAAGTTTGTGAAATGCAATGTCCAAAATTCTCAAATATATAAGTTCAGAATATTTTATGAAATATAATGACTAGTCTAATATGAAAAATGGACCACATAACACAGGAACTTAAAACTTAAAGATACAATTATTTGAAAACTCAGCAATAAGTTTTTCCATAACTAACCTCTGTCTTTTCGTTGTGTGGAAACACCTTGGATGGCAGTAAAGATATCTGGTGTAAATATGTAAACACCACAATTGATTCGGTCACTCACCTGCGATTCTTATAGTATTAGAGTAAAATAAATTGGAGAACAACCAAACAATTAATCCATGTCATCATTAAACAATACCAAAAGGCAAAATTTGATGAGTCACTGATCTTGTACATACAAAAGTTTCAGGTTTCTCTGTGTAATGCAACAGTTCATTGGTAATGGGATCAGCCACCAGTTCCCCAAACTGGTTGGCTGACTCGGGGGAGACCTGCACAGCGGCAAATGAATCAAAAATTAAGGTGGAAAAGAACAAACAACTCAAAAATACAGAAAATGATGCTTAGCTAGGAATCCTTTTAGGCACACAGGCTGGGCATATTTTAACCAACCTTAATTACTAGGATTGTTCCCATCCCACCATAGCTTCTGTGTGCCTCTGCAAGTGTTGAAGGCAAAATGCAGCAATTAGAACTTATGACACTATAAATGTAATGTTTAACAATCTCTATATGATCAACTGTAGCTTTGCATACACCAAAAAGGCAAATGAAACAACTTTCAAAGATTCATAAAAAAAGAACATTTCAAGGGAGCAAGAAAGAGATAATTACCAAGCATCTCAGGCAGTGGAAAACTGCAGCAAACATCACAATTCAACAAGACAATATGCGACTGCCAGGCAAAACATATGAATCACGTTAACACTCATCATGAAATGATAAGAAGCATAAAGAAAACAGTTTAGAAGCAAATATGGCCGTCTTGGCTCTTCTTTCTTATCATCAAACAAAAGAAGCAAAAGAGTTAACATCAAACATAATATAAGTTGTACGAGATGTTTGTGTTCAAATAAAGTAAAAATGTTCTCATATCACAGGTCAAGATAAAGACCGGATTGTCTTCCATGATCAGATCCCTGAAGTTATACAGTCCACCAGCTGACCCATGTGGCTTGTCTTCTCTTAAGTATCTAAAAACAGCATGATCAACCAAAAAGAGAACTGAGATCTACATTGAACAGCCATTTTGAAGTTTAAAGATTATGCATTATTAGGGAGAGACAATAATAAGAAACTACCTGACAGGAACCCTAAGTTCATTAGAGATTGATGAGACATAGAGAGCGAATTCACGCTCCTCATAGAAACCAACAAGATAGATCTGTGCTAGGTTTGGAATCTGTAACAGAGTCAATTATATTTGAGTTACTTTCCATTTCAATAAGTCATAACGTATACAATCCCAAAATTAAACTTCCAATTCAGAAGCTCCAATAACCTTTTACAACAGAGATACAGGTAGTCTCATCTCAAGCACTCTCCAAAACAATAAACTAGAAAGCATAAGATCCAAATTTCTTTCTCCAAATTCTTTGCATCAGTTATATGATATACATACCCTTTTACAAGCAGAGATTGGATGATGAACCATTGCTTGTCCTGCCAATGGAAAAAGTGGCTTTGGAATATTCAATGACAATGGCCGGAATCGAGTACCTGCCAACATATCCCAAGCTCACCATTAAGATCCGAAGAAGATTAACCAAAGTGTCTCACATTCGTCTCAAAAGTCAAAATTTCCACCAATATAGATACAAGAACAGAAAAGGGTCGTGTAATTGTAGCCAATACAAATCAAAACTTGGACAAGAGTTTTCTACTATTAAAAAGATTCAATGAATAAAATAAGAAAAGCGTGTCTCTATTTCCAATAGAAGAATCAAAATTCTGGTAATAATGAGACTTGAATTGAAGTTGTTACATTCCAAAACTCGAAACGAACTTCATACCTTTGGTTGGACCACCCACCATGATCACAGCAACAACTCTCTCCTCTGACCTCCCCATCTCTCACAAAAACCAATACCCAGATCTCAAGAGACTGTATCACTAGCTACGAGTGCAACCCCAATCTTATAGAGCTCAAGTTCAATAATACCACCAATTCTTAGTAAAACAGAGACCCAATGCATTGTAATTCATGTCAATGATTCGTCCATTTCTGAAAGAACCCTTCTTTTCTCCAAGTCAATACACCACGATGCCAATGCAGAAATGAAATAGTACGTTCAACAGGGAGCTCTCAGATATAGCACAGAGTACGCAGAGAGAGAGAGAGAGAACTACGGTGCAGACTATATAAAGAGAGAGTGTTATAATTGAGTCTCGGGATACAGAAGATCCAATAATATGCGTCGGTGATTGTGGAGAGAGAGAGAGAGAGAGACGTATTAGCATGTGGAAGCTTCGCAGTTCGCAGGCTTTTTGGCCTTCTTGTAGCGTTCTTATCGCAAAGCGCGTGGTGGTCTTGTCTCTTCCTCACCCTCTCTCTCTCTCTTTTTCTGGGTATTCTGGGGCCCTGTCCAGTGAGGCTATTGGTGGGACCATCCCATCTATGGTCCACAACCATGGTAGTTGAAGCCTGATGGGCCGATGAACTCTCCTTTTTTTGCCCTTTCCTGCCTCTCTTTTCTCTTAAATCACTGTAAATGTGTGATTATCTTAAGAAATTTTTACGAGTAGTTGTAAATCGAAATTAGTTCTTTTTAGAAGCATACAACCTTCATCAAACTACATGCATGGAGCCATGAAGAATATTGAGATTAGGTTTTTTTTTTTCTAACAAATAAATTTCAAAGACTTTTAGAACATGCGATTAATACTTCGGTGAATAACACTTTGTAATCTAAAAAATTTTTAAATTATCAATTCACGTTTTGAAAGATTAAAATTTTGACACTGCACTTTCAATCAAATAAAAAGTTAGTAACGTGGTTCAAAACCTAACTTCCCTGGCTTCGTTTGACATTTTTTTTTTGTTATATCGTTTATATTTTCTTATTTTGTGCATAATTATTTGTATATTATTCAATTTTAAATGTTTATTACTTAATTATTCAAGAGTATAAAGAGAGAATTTAAAGGACTTTCCCTAAACACAATTAGAAAAATACAATCCATCATTCCCCATGAAACAAAAATTATCCAGATAAATTTTTAAAAGTCGTTTGAAAAGAAAATTCGAATATAATATGTTTAATTTTGTAGGATGGACACTTAACCAATTTGTCTACCCTTAAATTTGAAGGCCTGCCTTGATATTTTGCATTCAATGATACAAACAATGACTTGGGACACAAACAATTTTTCTATCCTATTTTGTGATAGCATGTGAGATATATGATGTGGTATATATTGCTATGCATATATATTTATAATTTTCCAGATACTTGTCACGCTCGCCTGCAATTGAGAGGCGGGTCTTTAGGAGAGATAAGCGTAACGATGTTTGATTTATTGCAACATATATGCTATAATTAAGCAGCAGTCACGGATGAAATTCGTCCCTCATTAACAAACTTGGGCTGGATCCCTTTGACCATGCGNAGCGTAACGATGTTTGATTTATTGCAACATATATGCTATAATTAAGCAGCAGTCACCGATGAAATTCGTCCCTCATTAACAAACTTTGGCTGGATCCCTTTGACCATGTGGTCATGTTGTGCTGTTCTGATAATTGTTGGGGAAAAGGATCCAAACCTAATTAGTTAGAAAGTTGAAATCACACTTATCATTGTGAAGACCTGAAGGTGGATTTACAACTCCCAAACAGTATAGTCTTTAAGGCAAAGATGGTCATTCCCATCNGGATCCAAACCTAATTAGTTAGAAAGTTGAAATCACACTTATCATTGTGAAGACCTAAAGGTGGATTTACAACTCCCAAACAGTATAGTCTTTAAGGCAAAGATGGTCATTCCCAACCATGTGCAACCACAAGTGAGTCAGCCCAACCAAGTATAGAAGAGAAGTTCCTTTCAGAGCAATAAAGTTAGGTCAAAATCTTTTGGACTATAAGAGAAATGTAGCTGCCTTGATCAATATAATTTTGATATATATTATAGATAAAATGCATCATATCATCTCAGGACATGAAAGCTATGGTTTCATAATCTTCCGGATCATGAGAATATTATTCTCTTCGAGACTGAATAAACTTGCTTAGTGATTAAACCAACAAAAAAGGAAACTAAGATTTCCAAACTTCGATAGAGATCGAGGTTCTCCTGCAAACTATGTGACTGCAAATGCCTTTCAACCTTAGCTGTTAATTTCTTTCAGCAGAAGCTAGATCAGAATATAAAGAAGTAACAACTTTTTAGTGCAATATATGTTGTTGGTGATAGAGATATAGCAACTACATATGACAGTGCTGCAAATCCACAAGGGAGAGTTCATATAATGGTATGGACCTCCAATATCACTGAAGCAGACATTGTACTCATTATGTGCCCACCCTTTTATGTATTATTCTAATTCCATCAACTGGTTTTCGATAGGTTTGTCAGCAGATTGCATTCAGATTGGAACTCTATTGAACCAAATCCGACACCAATCTAAACGTTCTAATCCAAATATCCAACAGATTTTATTTTCACAGTTGACATCCGTTCATATCCAAATCAGCTAAAAGTCAAAATCCAATCCCAAATCTGACACGAATAATTTGATAAAAGCTAATTTTTTACCAAATATGAAATCCACGAAGTACAACTCTCGAAGCTGATATTGTTCAAAGATCCGTGATAGACTTTGTATTGTCTCCTGTGTGAGTAGGCACATTACAGTAATTAAAAAGTTAACACAAAACATAAAATACAGGAGGGTAGAGACATGGTTTTAAGCCCTCAAGCCTTATTTCCTGTAAACCTGAGGAGAAGCTTTCACAGCTTAGAAGGAGAATTATACCACCCCCAGGGTTCATCAGAAACATACTGTGTCACCTGCTTCACATGCAAATAGGTGTCGAGTCCCCTGCAGAAAGATGGCAAGTAATATTGGTTATCTAACATTACTTCTGTATTAACTGGGATAGACCCATACTGATTGCATCAAGCAAGATGTTTTGGACAACTGGACCCTATATGCATGCAGTGATTTTTGTTTCTAATTCAAATAGAGCTTCGACTTCTCATTCCTGCTTTAGAATTTGACAACTCAATGCCTGTAGTTTATACCACAAATACCATTCTTTTCTTTATTCCCAGTCATACAATGTGTCAAAATACTAAAGAACGTTTCACGTACCACTCCCCAAGTTCACGCCCAAAACCACTACGCTTTTTGCCTCCCCATGGAGCTTGACAGAAGCACGGCTGTGAGCAGTTGACCCACACAATCCCTGCCTGAAAAGCCTGGAAAATGCATAAGAAGAAGCACATTTCACATCAATCAACGATACTAGGTCATCTCCAACCTATTTTAGTTTTCATGCTCACTTTTGAGGACAGATAAACAAATAATCTCAAACACAACTCAAGTCTCACCTTAGTCATGCGCTCACAACGTCTCAGATCTTCCGATAGTACAGCAGCGCCCAAGCCATAACTTTGAACAATAACAAAAACCATAGAGAACTCTCAAAAACTTGAGTATAAAGGAAGAAGAAAAAATTACTACAACCCATCCACTGGTACAGAGGTATACAAGTTAACCAGACAGAAAAGCATGCTTACTGGGTGTCATTTGCTAGTTCAATGGCTTCATCTTCAGTTGAAAATGTCTTTACACACAGAACAGGTCCAAAAACTTCCTCTCTCCAAATTTGCATGGAAGTAGTTACATCAGTTATAATGGTTGGTTCGATATAGAATCCTTTCTTTAAATGCTGCTGTTCATTCACAACAAATTGATCAATAAGGGAAAAAACACAGCAAATTGATGAACAAAGAAGAAAAAAATTCGACAAGGGAGAGTTTTACCTGGGGATGTGCCCCACCACTCAAAATGGTTGCCCCTTCACTCTTGGCTGTTGAGATAAAGTTCATTATTTTGTTATACTGAAAAGTTCACAAATTTGAGGCATATGTTAGAATGACAGGACATGTCAGAGTCGAAAATTGATCATATCTTTCTCATCAGAAAGTATCAACAAAGTTTGAAAGAGGGGACAATACAGCAGTTAACCATGACCTCCACTCTACCAGAGGAATCATGACAAAACATTCATCAAATATTACAAAATCGGAAAATCAATATTCTTGTTTGGCATGATTTTCTCATTAACCTAACTGTATTACCAATTACAGAATGCCTATTTGTATTAAATTGTATGATTACCACCCAAATCCACGTATCAATATTAAAGAAAAGGAAGATATGTGCTGATAATGACATACATGAAGGCTTAAGGACTTCACAAAGGCCAAACCAAATTTTTAAAAAGAATAATTTTTTAGGGTGGGGCATTCTACAATTGGCCAAGATACAAAGCTTTAATGTTGGGTTGTGGCTAAAATAGGATCTTTGGGGTTTTAAGAGCAAAAGGGCATATTTGATCTGATTGGTACAAAAAAAGGCAAAATTTTGAAATAAGAAGAAAATAGGCGTCCAACTCGATGTCTAATAGCCATCACACCTAGGATTCTTGGGCAGCAAATCAGAGAGAAAGATGCACCACACATCTCATATAGAATTCATAAAATATCCATCAATTCACCACCTAAAATAGAGACTACACCAATACAAATAGGGAGCTATGACCTTTTCTGGGAGAAAAAAGACCGAGAGATATTGGTCAAGACTTGGAGACCAAGTGCGTGATTGATGAGTTGGTGGCCAAGTTAAACTCCTAACTTGGGACCCCGGTACTTTGACCTCGAGACTTTAGCTTATTGTCTGACCCACTTATACAATGGATTTAACTTTGGACCCCAGCCAGTACTTTGACCTCAATACTTCGGTTGTCTGACCTCAAGAATTATAGGCCAAACATACAAAAATCATCAGGACAGACCACTACTACAACACGTTACCAGTATTATAAAAACAATCCTACATTGGAAGTTAATTATTATATATCCTAGCCTAATCTAACAACACTTCATTTATAATGCAAGAGAGACTCTTAACTTCAGATATCATTTCTGCTTCTTCGCCTTGGAATCACGTTGAACTAAACATCCCTATTATCTTGAAAAGAACCGTCTGCATCACAACCCTTTATATCAAAACTATTGGAAAGGATGGCTAAATCATACCTACAACTGGAATTCCTCTCCCGAAAACACAAAACAAAAAAAATCTCCTCCCCCCCCAAAAAAAAAAATGACACCTCTATCTGGCTCTACATACTGAAATTTCAGACTCGAGTAATCATCCTTATCAGAGGTCTTAAAAATTTAAATTGCTGTCATTTATCGATATCGATATGCTGAAATGCCTCAGTTGCAGAATTTGAGTGTTAAATTCATTCAAGAGCTTGACTAAAAAACTTTATCATCTTCAGCAATGATAAGATCTGCACCACATAATTAAGTCTGAGAACTTGGTTTCTTCAACTCCTCATTTTGGTATAGAATATGGAGCTGCCCTTTGCTTTTGAATAACCATGAAGAACAGTATGTTTAAGGATTCAAACCAGCTTTATTACCTGCCCGCCACTAACAACAGGGCCAAGCCTGCAACCTTCCTCTAAGGGGTCTGAAATTTTAATATTTTTGCACCATTTCACAAGCCTGTCCAAAAGTTCAGCAGCAATGCTCTCCTGAAACATAAGTGGGATGCACACCCATTAATATTGCAGAATCGGAACTAGAAATAATAATTACACCCAGATAAAAAGTGATGCAACACATTTTCTCTAGGTCGGTGGTGCAGTTTAAGATTGTTTTGCAACATGGAAGAATGCAGATTGGATAACTGGAATTCTTTACTTAGACAAGTGCCTAGTGTGGCAAAGCACAAGCATAAAATGAGACAGAGGGAGGAAGGGGGGGAGAGTGAGAGTTATTAGTATACGAATCTTCTAATTCATGGACTTTTAGTAGTTCCTACATGTCAGAGAAATGGAGAGAAACGNTCTTTACTTAGACAAGTGCCTAGTGTGGCAAAGCACAAGCATAAAATGAGACAGAGAGAGGAAGGGGGGAGAGTGAGAATTATTAGTATACGAATCTTCTAATTCATGGACTTTTAGTAGTTCCTACATGTCAGAGAAATGGAGAGAAACGGGACACCGTACCCCCAAAACATGTATGGGTGACATTTTGAATCAAGCTCATATACTTACATGCACTAAAAGACGAGATGTTGCACTGCAAATTTGACCATTCGTCCAAAAGCAACCAAAAAGAACCCACTCAGCAGCTGTTTGAATCAAAGACAGAGGATAAGTAAATATTGAGATAAACCCAAAATATATTTGGATGTCCTATTAATGACCCAGTATGAACTACCAGATGTTGTACGTATACTTCATTTTTACGTTGTTGACTACGAAATCTTCATTCAGAATGTTGGTTCCGAGAAGAAATTACAATTACTCTTTGAAAGAGGATTACAATTACTCTTGAAAAGAGGGTAATGAACAAAAGTTCTATGTTGAGAAGGTACAAACCCTTATCAAGATCAAAATCCTCAAACACAACTATCGGACTTTTTCCACCAAGCTCAAGTGTCACTGGCTGCACAGGAAAAATAATGAGAATAGTATAAAAGACACAAAATACTAGCAAATTTTGCTGACAACCAATAAAAATTTCATGCCACCACATACTTTGAGGACTTGAGCTGCAGCAGTCATGATCTTGCTCCCTGTGGCAGAACTTCCAGTAAATGCAATCTGTTAAAAGCATGCAGCCTGTGTTACTACATGGTAGCTATCCAGACCCAGTACATACCATGGTAATAATGAAAAGTAAGACAAGCTAACCTTGTCAACATGGGGATGAGATGCCAAAGGAGCACCAGCTTCAGGCCCCAATCCGGTCAAAATATTAAGGACACCTGGAGGAAGACCCACCTCTTTACACACTTCAGCCAACTCCAAACAGGTACTGAAATTGAATTTATATTAACATTAAGCATATAGAAAATGCCAAAAACACATTCAAAGAAAGTCAATTTTAATAATGACTTACACAGATGCCAATTCAGATGGTTTCAGAATTGCTGTACAACCAGCAGCCAGGGCAGGAGCAACTTTCCATGTAGCCATCAACATAGGGTAATTCCTTAACAAAATTACAAACAGTTTGTTTGTCAGTTACACAATGATATCTTTGTTCACGGTGATCCTAAAAGGGCACTAACCAAAAACTCCTAATTATCAACCATTACAATACTCTGCAACATGCAATCCACACAATAAAAATAACCACCATCACAACCTCCTAATTACTAGAGACCAAAACATGCAATATTATCTTGCATTTAAGGCTGCATCCACCGCTACAGGCTCAAGATTGACAGACGAACAATATTGTAACAATAATAAGAGTAATTCTATCAACAAACATATGGCATCTTGCATAAGAGCCACAGCTCCAAAATAAAAGGTGGTTCGTTGCCAGTTTGGAGATTAACAGGGTAGCCACCGTCATAATAAGCACATACACACTTCTTTAGAGAAACATCATCAGATTCCACATGCACACATTTCAAAAATACTCAAAATAAATGGACCTCAAACTGGGTGAACATCTGTGAGAGTGTAACGGGCAAAGTCGGCATTATTACATGATGTCGGTTGTTCTGAGGCGAGGGTCAGTTCATTTACACTAAGAACTTCAAAAAAGATTGGCTAGACTTGATCCGAGCCAAACTGAACTTACAAAGATTGTAGGTGTTATTGGATTTCATTGACCAACTAATGGAAAGAAGCAGCTCATACCATGGAGTAATCAACCCAACAACCCCAATGGGTTCCCTGAGAACACGACTTTTGAATGTCTCCGTCGGAAGAGAAATTGGGACATTTTGCTTTGAATCCAAAGCTTCAGCAAGATCTGCATTGTACTCAAAACATCCAGCTACATCATCCTGAATGGACATGAACAGGCATATAAGAGAATCGTACATGACACAGCAAAGGGAAAAAATACAAATCGGTAAGAATGCTACAAACATACTATATCCCAAGCTGCTTCCTCCAATGGTTTTCCACAATCAATTGCTTCAAGTTTTGCGAGTACAGCTTTTCTCTCTGTTATCTACGCAAATAGAAGAAGAAAGAACTAAGACATCTTAAATACAGTGAATTATCTTACTAGGTCAATTATGTGAAGGAAAATAGTTTTCTAGTAGAAAGCTCTAATAAAACAGATGGGTCTATATCTCAGGTAAATCAATGGAAGTCATAATCCAATGTATGTAATCTTTAAATATACATTGTTACCACAAAGAAAGTTCAAACTAATATATTAAACAATTGAGTCTATATTCCACTAATCTGCCAAATGAGATATAATGACCTGTGGTATATCTTAGAAAAGTGAAAATAGAGGTACTCTCTCATGGAAGATGAATCCAGTTCAAAAAATAAAAGGTAATGCTCAGTGTCAAATTTTAACCAGGTTCACATGGTAACTACTAACAAGAAGCATCGTCTATTTTTTCTTTTGGCCCAGGGAAGTTTACTCAAGTAAGTGGGCAACTCTGTATCCGCTGTATGAGATCCCTGGCTTAGCAAGTCAGGTGAATATTGCAGCTAATAATGCATTGAGATGGGCTAATGGAATAGGATATTTCACTTTGGCAGAGGACTTCAAAAATGGAAATCTCTTTCTTTTTTTTGGAAGCATGGAAGGAAAAAACTGTGTTATTTCAAAAATTACTCTCCTATAAATTAGAGAGCTACACCTTTACCACTTCCAACACAATGACATGGTCACAAAATGGGCTTCACTACCATGCAGCTACCACACAACACTACTACCACTACTACGTCCATGCAACACCTTTTCCTGCTACTACCGCACTCCCACCACCACTATACCATCGCTACTGCAACCATCACCACCTTTACATCAATATTGTCGCCACCACCTCCCATGCTATAGCAGCACAACTAACATCACCACCACAATTAGTCCTCACAATTTGTCAATATATAACCACCACCGCTGTGTTCATCATCAAAACTGCTGCGCTACCCCCCCCCCCCAAACACGGCGCGGGCAGCATTAACCAGACAATCGTCAATCCATCAACAACTTGCACAGTCATTGCCGTCATATCCTCCACAACACCACCATCAATCCATCATCTTGATATCATAAAGCTCTTTCAGCACCAATTTTCTTCCCCCAAATCTTAGTGTTTTCATTCTTACCTTCACTTTAAAACAAAAAACAATGAAAAAATTGTTGCCCGGATTTTGACCTTCTACTTTGAACACCGCTTGTCACTCACATACACATCAATTTCGGGTTGAATAGAAACACAATTGAATCACGATTACCTCTTGATACTAAGTCTAACTGATAAGTAGATATAATTTAGTCCAAAATCTTAAATGGTTGTGGCATCACAAAGATGCAAGCAACTCATGGTTCGATAGCTCTAATGCATAATTACAAGGATCACAAGGACTGTTCAACTTCAAAATGGTAGCAGATGAATAAAATTCAGAATGACGCATTACTAGATAATGAACAGAACTGATCCAGTAAAACTCAAACTTTCAACCCAAGCACTACTAATAGATTTCAGATACCCAAATCAAACATGTACCTTAGCAGCAATAGCACGTAAATACTTTGCGCGATATGCCCCAGTGGCTGATGACCAGTCTCGGCCTCCATTCCGTGAAAAGGCTTTCTGAGCGGCTTCCACAGCAATTTCCACATCCTCAGCAGTAGCTGCCGGAATATCCCCTGAAAAAAATTGAAAAAATGGCATGTCAGTTTTGTGACAGTCAAAACCTAAAATTATTTTCTTAAGATAATTTAGGCAAGCATAGTAGTTTTAAACTTTGATTCTATGATTTTTAATTATTGAGAACACTTTTGAGTTTTGACTTATCAAATATACGCGTACACAAAAAATCAATACGACAATGTTGAATCTGAGACTTGTTGAGAAGAAACCACAAGGATTAAATATTTCACTAAGTTATGCCTAAATTTAATGTTGTCACCTAGTTCTTCCGAAGTGTTCCTATTTATAAGTTAGAAACTAAAGCACGGGCGGATTTGTAGTGGGCGTAGTAGGAGCAGCTGCCCCCACTGCAATTTTAAAAATATTTGGGACCTAGTTAGAATTTCAAATAATTTCAGAAGTATTTAAAACTTGCTCCAACTGAAGTCTATAAAACATTTGGGGTTAGTTTCATAATTTATACTTAGAAATTCACTTCAGACGGAATACTCTTTCTCTTCTTTCCCTCTCTTCCCGCTTCAGTCACTGACCAAACCAATCCTCTTTAGAGAATCACAGGCTGCACAATCTATTTATCTCTACCTTGTGCTTGTGTCTCTTTCTAATTGTGATTATCCACTCGCCAATTATCATGTAAAATCTGCAAGTGCTAGGAGCCCTAGAAGATTATATGGGAGTTATGGAGAGGTAACCCAAGAGCCATTAAAAGTTAATTTTTCAGAGATTTGGTCATTTGTTGAATCTTTTTACTTTTGAGAGGAAGATATTGTGGCCAATGAGAAAAACTTGCTTGTTTTCTTTCCATACCATTGTTGCTTGTTCATTGTCTGTTAAAATGCTGCAAACAAAAACCATGAGAAAATGAGCAAGTATGTTAGTAACCATAATTATATGGGAGCCCCAAAGACTTATGCATTGCCCATACACTCCAAATTTTAATTTTTCTTTTGTTTTCTAACAAGAAAGAAATTTCAAGGAAAACTGTGCGTGGTATTTCACTTCAAATTCCTTTTTTCCAAGTCAGTACAACTGCTCTTGAATCTAAGTGACATTTGCTATCATTGCGTTGAATTGAAAAAACATAGTTTCTGTCGTTGTACGTAAATTCTTTAGCTGATGGTAGCACTGTATTTTGTTGAATTTGAGATCATATTCTCAAACTAAGCCATCAACATTCTCAACATCGCATATTACACAGTTATTTACCAGACACATACTCGGATAGTTTCAAAGCAATACATTACATTGTTGCCTGTATTTTTTGCGCGCAATTTTATGAAAACATAACTTCGTTTGGCTTTGAATCAATGCATCAGCTCCTCTTCTCCCATGGGAGAGAGTTTTTGGTGACAATTTAGAAATTTTAAGCCATTTAAGTTTAACAGTTTGTCTACTGTTAGCCATGCTTATAGAGCATTACTAGATACTAAATGGGGTGGATATAGATTGGGGCAGGTTTAATCTATCTCTAATATTACTGCTAGTAGTTTTATATTAGATAATTTAATGGGTTTGGGATGGATATTTTTGGGGTGTGAATAGCCTCATCCTATGGTGAAAATTCAAGGAAAAAGTATCGAACTTGAGCCTAATTAGGCCAATTAATGGATTGTAAGTTGCCCACGCTACGGAACAATCCTGGCTCCGCCCCCTGAACTAAAGCATCGTCAAAAAATATTATCAGAAATTTTCCTACATATGCTGCAGTTTACCCAGCTTTCTCAGACCAAATAAAGTGCTAAACAATACTTATTAACAAATTGAAATGACAATTACCGGAGAAATGATCTGCATAACTTATTAGCATATATATATATATATATATATATATATATACCGAGAGAGAGAGAGAGAGAAGAGTAAAATTACCAATGATCTGTTCGGTGGCGGGGTTGATGATGGGGATACGATTCTTCTTGACAGGTTCTCTCCATTCGCCATCGATGAATAGCTGACGAGATGGTATTGGGATCGCCATTAACTCAATCGCTAGGTTGACTGAACTCACTCACTTACTCTCTTACCGTGGACTGCTTCGATCTCGCCCGAGTGCGGCTACGTTTGTGTGGTTTGATCTTTGATTTAGGTGAGTTATGGTGGGCTCTTTTATACTGTATCAGTGGTGTTGATCCTTTCTTTTTGGGAATAGCATCATCCCCACTTTATCCTAAGTAGAAATAACCGCTATATTATGTGGGCATTCATGGGATGACGGTTTAATAATAAGTAAATAAATCAATAAATAAGTTTAATTACAATTCATAATTACTTAATCATGTGAAACATAACTATCTCTATAATAAAAAAGAAGCTCTATTTTACTATTTTTATTTTTTTTATTAGATAATTACACCATGTCAATAATATTTACTATTTCAAATATATTTTTTTTAAAATAGAATGCTTATTAAGTTTCTTCTCAAATTTTTTATCCTAAGTAATATGTCATAATTTCCATTATTCAATATTAATGGGACGCTGTGATAAAAGAAAATATTAATAAAACCTATTTATTTGATGGTGAAAATTATACCACATAATTTGGGATAAAAAATTTGATAAAAAATCTTTGTCACCATAGCATTGTTGTATTTGACAACTCCAAATGAATTCTCTATTATCTATACTACTTTAAAATGTCTACATGCTTGAAAAATATTTATTTATTTTTTTTACCCCTAAACAATAGTATTATGACATTTTTATCATATATTAAAAGGTGATAAAAATATGTGATCTTCAATAATAACCTTTAAAAATACATAATGACAACATTAAAATAAATTTTCCATATTCTCCGTTCAATCACAATGCTAAAGAGAACTTTTGGACTTCTACATCAATAAATTGTCTTGCTGATTGGCTCTAATGTTCATATATCTATGTCTATATCTATCTATCTATATTAATAAATTAGTTATTGCATGTACTTGAAGGCATATAGTGGTAAAAAATGGTAAACAATAAACATATTTATATTCATATCCAAAATCAAATCATAAACATAAAAAAGAGATAAATAAATTTAAACATCGGTTATAATAAGGGTGAGAGGTGGTGGGCGGTAATGATGGTGGTAGGAGACGGTGATAGTTGTGGTGGGTGGGAGTGGTGGTGGCGGTGGCGGCTATGGCTGCAACAGTGCTGGTGGTGGCGACAGCGACAGTTGCGACAGTGCTGGTGGGTGGTGATGGCGGTAGGGGTGGTGGCAGTGGTGGTGGTAGAGGTAGTGGTGGTGGTACAAATAGTGGTAGAGCTGTTTCAAACATTATTTTAAAAAAAATATTTATGAGAAATAATTTATAAAAATACTTTAAAAAAGTCACTCTAAACACATTATTAAGAGTCTATTTTTTCTATTAAATTTAGAGTATTAATATTAACCGTTAGATTAACTGTAAAGTTAAATTTAAAGCGATCTCAATCGCGAATAACAAAAGTTATTTTGTTTATCTTTTGAGATTTCAATTGTAAGTTACTTTATTATATAGATGTAAAAAACTTTTAATTGACCACAAAAATATATTTTACACAGGAGAATACATAATTAGTTATTATTCTATTTGTATGCAACCAATGATTATTGATCACTACCGATCTACTTAAATTATTTAGGGTTAATTGTAAGTTACACCCTAAAAATAGTTCGAGTATCAATTTAGAACCCCAAAGATTAAAACTTTCAATTTGCACCCTCAAAAATATAAATTTGTATCGATGTGCACCCTCAAAGATAAAAAATTTTAATTTGCACTCTCAAAGATAAAAATTTGTATTAATCTACACCCCCAAATAAAAAAAAATTCAATTTGCACCCTAAAAAATAGAAATTTGTATCAATGTGCACCTAAAATTAAATTGATAAATTATACTTATATCCCTTCATGCTTGTCACTTAATCATTTGGACCCCCTTTACATTTAGAATATTACTCCTACATCTCATGGCGTTTGTGCACGTGCAACACGTAATCCATTTTCGTTGATATATGTTAATATAACCGTTAAAAAATATGATTTTATCTTAATAAAAAAATTATAATTTTATATTACTTTTTTTTGTAGGTCCGATATACTCTAAAGTTCAAAATCAAGCTTACCATTTGAATGTCTAATATAAGCTTTGGATAGTTATTTAATTCACTCAGTTGTTTGGTTAGAGAATTATTTCATCGTATTAATATTGAAATAGTCTCAATCGGTGTCTGTTACATTGATGACAACTTGATTTTATCACTCGGGGGGCTATAATAATAAATGCGTAGAATAATAAGTTTGAGTTGAATTATAATATCATCTTTTTTGGTGGTATTAAAAGACCTTCATAATGCATGTCTATCATAAAAAAAAATATACAATAAATATATAATTAATATACGTTTTTAAAATTAATACGGTATCAAATTTATTTATCAAACGAAATATTAGACCCAATTAAATAAAAAATAATATAATCTAATATTTAATCATTTCAGAATACGCTAGTAAACGAGTTAATAGTGTTTGGTCCGTATTGACAGCGAGCATACCAACAAAGCTATCATCTGTTGTTGGTAAGTCTATGTATCTAAGGACCGGAGGCACAATGATAGACAAAAAATAGTGACATTAAATAATTGAGAGAAAAGTGTGAGCTTTGAGAAGGAGCATAGCCTTTTTTTTAACTTCATAAGGTCACGAATTAGTTTTTTTGTTGTTTATCTGCAAACACAAAATATAATAAATTAATTATTAATTGTTGTAGTTTTCTTTTTGCAATTGTTTATATTAGACATTTATGTATCACTAAGAGAGAATTTTTAACTCTGAATCTAACTCTTTCATGTATGAGTTGCTTTAAGACTCTTAATAACGATTATGTACAATTATTTTGGATTATCTTGACTTAGATTTTTATCCTCTTTTCAAGAGCATTATATTACTTAAATTGCTTTGAATATAAGATTTGTTTGTAAAACTTTAATTGTGCTCACAAGTAGGTTTAAAATGCATATAGTTCATTACCACTTATTTAATCAAATTTTAATAGTGACCAAGTCTTTACAATAATAGATAATATATAAATTCAAATGGTTTACGTGTAACGCACGTGTGCACCATTTAGTAATAGAAAAATACTCTTAATAGTCAATGACATTTAATAAATAATGTAGTATATGTATCACACCACTCACCGGCATAAGGTAAGATTTTTATTTTTATTTTTTGACCAATTAAAATATATCGCGTTCATATTTTTTATTTTATAAATTATTATTAATTTTAATCAATAATTATAAATCATTCAGATCAACTTTGATGGCCGAGATTAATGGAGGCCTGGTATCGTAGCCATACACCCAACTTTTTTGGCCAATTTTGAATTTTTTTTTCCAAAATACCTTGATTTTAACATTTTTCTTGTATATATTGGAATTAATGTAGAAACAGAAAAAAAAAATAATTTTAAAAGAGATGGTAAAAAAAATATAATAATTTATTATTATTATTTTATTCTTATTTTAAACTATTTCATTATAATTACCTTATTCTTTTCACCACCAAGGCGGTGACAACATAATGACAGTGGTGACAGTGGATTTGGTAGTACTAGTGGTGGGGTGGCGAAGACAATGGTAGCAATGACACAATGATGATGGAGGTGGCGGCAACAACACAATGATAGTGGAAGTAATGGTGGTGGTGGTGACGATAACATAATAGTAGTGGGTGGTGGATAATGAAAAATTAAGAATGTAAAATACATTGATAATATGTTTATCCATTTTGATAAATTTATAAAATTTTAACTAACTAACATTTTCAGCATTAAGTGATAAGTAAATGGTTTGTTATTTAAAATTTTAGCTTATTTTTAAGTGCTTAAAGTATTACGTAATATGAGTTTAATGTTACCAAACAAGTTTAATTCATTAAGCATTTAATTTTAAGCATAAGCCAATCATTTAAATATAAGAACCGAAGATAGCAAAGAAAAAAAATACAAAGATATACATGGCTCAGCACGTCATACCTACATTCATGGACAAAAAGAGTGCATTGATATATTTATCACCTAGCCATTTGATTACTAATAATCACTTGAGCAATGTTTATGTGGATCAAATTGTTGCTTAAAATTTGTATCACAAATCAATACAGGTGGTTAGATTAGTATGATCCACTAACTCCATAAAATATATAATGTGTGAGATTTTGACACATCACTTGGGATTAGGAGTGTCCATGGGCTGGAATAGGCCCGTGAAATTTTTTTTAGGGTAGGGGCTGAGTAGTGTAAATTCAAGCTCTTATCCAAGTGAGTTATCAGGCATGCCAGACTAGACTGCGAGTAGAGGTAGACTACCCGCAGCCTAACTCACGAGCCTATTGAGTGGTCCTGCGGACAAGCTTGCTCGCGGATTTTTTTATATACGACTTTATTTAAAATAATAAATATTTTTCTAACTTAATATTTGTATAAATTATATTTTTGAATTAAAAGTAGAGTCAAAATGAATAAAAATAAAATAATAAATAATTTTATTTTCGATTAAGGGATGAACTACATTCAATAGAATGAATACATTCCAACTAGGGTGACACCTATTCACTTATCTATCATTTTGTATTGCTCTACCTTTTAAAACTTGTACGCTTAATATATAGAAAATAAAATAATACATTATTTATAGTATTTAAATTTTTAAAACTTCAAATTCTAACATTATGAGACTTATTTTAAAGTTTTAAATTTAATGATCTGAAAGTATATTTTTTTTTTAAATGAAGAGTGGGTGGGCTCTTGGGCGGTTTTAACGGGTTTTTTAAGGTGAGCTATTGGGCCGGGTTTCTGACCGAATAATAGTTTGGGGGCAAACTCAAACCCTCTTTTTAAGGATATTGGATTCGGGTTCGAACATGCCAACTATCGGACCTATTGGATTTCATACCTATTTTTTTCGGACTGGATAACGATACATGTGGGTAACCTAGTCTATCGACACCCCTAATCAAGATGTAAGATTTGATAAATAAATCTGAAGAGCACAATTTTATCTAGTTGCATGGGGTAAGTAACTGATAAGATTAACCATAACACAATGTCACTCATGACTATTCAAATAATCTCTTTGTTTCCTATGAGGTTTTTAATGAAGTTATTAAT